AGAAATAACAAGTGTAATATCCACTAAAGCAAAGCTTAAGTATATAACACCAACAGTAGGACCATTCCGTTGTACTTTGTGATATAATAGTACTTGGTTGGGCGTGAGCCCGTAATATTGCATGTCACTTATTTACTTGATAGCTTCTGCATGCGTATGTTTGTGACGTGCTTGCATAACCTCGATTGATACTTGTATGGGCGAGAGAACGATCGAGGGATGGTGAAAGGCTGATTGGTTCGAGGGGAATCAGGCCGCATAGGGTGCTAAGGAGCGAAAAATTTTAGCCTCTAGCAAGACCCTGTGACACTAGGCCTCAGGCGCGAGTGCTAGTGCGCGTGGCACGTGAATGCTAAGGCTCGAGTCACGGACCACGGCTTGTCCTATGGCAGGGATGAACGCGCGACTAGGGTTCGACACAGACGAAAGATATTTTGAACATAATAACCGATAACGACTTGAACTTAACATAATTGAACATTTAGCATAAAAATGAAAAACTCGGAATTTATAAAAGAAAATACGGATTTCACATATAGTCGAGCAGTGAAACCGTTCTAATATTATTTTTGATCGGGGCGCTACAGTCTACCCACCTTAAAAGAATTCCGTCCCCGGAATTCGGAACAAAACAACTAGAAAGCACTAAAAATAAATATACAAAGGGGAACTCAAAACATAAAGTTCGGATAACGCCTTCTAATATCGTCTTCCCTCTCCCAAGTCGCCTCAGTCTCATCGTGTCGGCTCCACAGCACCTTCACCAAGCTCACTGCCCGGTTCCTAAGCTGATGGACCTTCTGGTCCAGGATAGCTACTGGCACCTCCTCATAGGTAAGGTCTCGCTCGACCTGCAGCTCGCCGAAGTCCACCACATGATCGGGATCATGCACGTACCTCCGAAGCATGGAGACATGGAACACGTCGTGCACACCCGACAAGTCTGGTGGTAAAGCCAACCAATACGCTAAGTTCCCGACTCAATCGAGGATCTCGAACGACCCAATATAGCGAGGTTTAAGTTTCCCCTTCTTCCCGAAGCGAATCACACCTGTCATGGGTGAAACCTTCAAGAAGACATGATCTCCCACTGCATAAACATGCTCTTGCCTCTCCCGGTCGGCATAAACCTTCTGCCTCTCTTGGGCAGAGCTGATAGTCTTCCGGATCTCCTCAACTGTCGCTGCAGTACTCTGGACAAAATCTGGACCCGTGATCCTCCTCTCTCCAACCTCATCCCAATAGAAAGGAGTCCAGACCTTACGTCCGTACAAAGCCTCGTACGGGACCATCTAGATTGAAGAGTGGTAACTGTTGTTATAGGTCAGCTCGACTAGCGGAAGGGAATACTCCCAAGTCAGGCTTCGTTCCAAGACCACAACCCTCAATATATCCTCCAAGTAATGGATTGTACGCTCCGACTGACCATCTGTCTGGGGTGAAAGGTTGTACTGAACTCCAACTTTGTCCCCATGGCTCGGTGCAACGTCCTCCATAACTGGGATGTGAACTTGGCATCTCGATTCGAAACAATCTCCACGGGCACTCCATTAAGCTTAACAATGTCCTTGACGAATAATTCAGCGTAATCACTCGCCTTCATGGTCGTCCGGACTGGCAGACTTCGTAAGGCGATCCACTATCACCCAAATCGAATCATACCCGCCCCTCGACTTCGGCAGTCCCACTAAAAAATCCATGGTGATGCACTCCCACTCCCACAGGGGAACCTCAAGGGGCTGCAACAACCCTCTCTGTTTCTGGCGCTCAGCCTTCACTTGCTGACACACCAGGCACCCATCCACGAACTTCGCTACCTGCCTCTTCATGCCTCGCCACCAGAAAGACTTCCTCAGGTCCTGATACATCTTCGTGCTACCAGGATGGATGGTGTACGGGGCACTATGGGCCTCTCTCAAAATCTCCCTTCGCAGCTCCCACACCTTCGGGACACAAAGTCTACCCTCGAAGACCAAGGCCCCATCAGATGCAACTGCGAATCCACCAATTCTACCGACTTCTGACAACTCTCTCATCCGGCATAGGAAACGGTCATTCGGTTGCTCGGCGACTATCCTCTCTCGAACAGTCGGTCCCACAACCAAAGAGGCCAACACGCCCCCGGCTGTCGAGGTCGACTCCACTGCCTCTAACTGTAATCGCTCGAACTCCCAAAGAAGAACATCCTGCCTGGTGAATAAACAAGACAACTGGCCATAACTCCTCCGGCTAAGGGCATCGGCTACCACGTTAGCTTTCCCATGGTGATAGCTAGTGGTGCAGTCGTAGTCCTTGACCAGCTCCAACCATCTACGCTGCCTCATGTTCAGCTTCTTCTGAGTGAAAATGTACTTTAGGCTCTTGTGGTCGGTAAAGATCTCACACTTGCCTCCATAGAGGTAGTGCCGCCAAATCTTCAAGGCGTGGACAACTGCAGCTAACTCTAGATCATTGGTGGGGTAGTTCTGCTCGTGAGGCTTTAGCTGCCTCGAAGCATAGACTACGACTTTCCCTTGCTGCATGAGAACACATCCCAAACCCATCTTCGAAGCATCACTATAGATGGTGAATCTGTTGGTGTTATATACTTAAGCTTTGCTTTAGTGGATATTTCACTTGTTATT